AAACAATCTCTTCAATATTTCATTTGTGTATTTTGTATTGCAATAGAGAATAAAAATTTTTATTTCATACACATATTCTTGCTCAAAGAAACGGTAGGTTTGTTTGGGTGAACAAAACCTCTTGGATCAAATGAAACACTTGTTGGATATTACTTTTGTCATAAGGATCTCGTCCTCACTCCACAATTAACACACTGTTACTACATACACTTACAAACATGTTTGTTGATTATACGAAACTGGTAGTATAATTAATATAAACGAAATGCCGTGTTATGTTTATGTCGTTTAATATCGTAAAAATGTGCTACGAAACGAATGAAGACTTTTTGTGGTAACGTTCATATTCTTATATAAATTTGAAAATGAATAACGCCCTCTTTAATGAGGTACTAATTTTAATTTCGTCATTAGTTAAGAAAGTAAGTAATTTCCCTCTGCAAAAGCAAAGAGCGCATATGTTCACTGATTTCTTTGTACTGTGTAGACTTGAATATAAATCATTGAATGAGGAATAATTTACAAAAGATAATTATCATTTTTCAATCCTTCCAAAACACACCGAATGTTTTGGAGACTGGTTCATTACAAAACACACCGAATGTTTTGGATACTGGTTCATTACAAAACACACCAAATGTTTTGGAGACTGGTTCATTACAAAACACACCGAATGTTTTGGTTCATTACTCAACAGTTTATGAGAAGCTCACACCACTTCTTTTTCTGTTGATCTTCACGAATATTTGATTTTCTTCTTTAGTTTATATTTTCACATACTTATCTAATTATTTCTGTATTGGAAGAGAATTATTGAAATTTGTTTATAAACAGGATTCGCTTAAGCTAGTGGTTAGCCGTAATGTGAATCCCAGAGTTAGTGGTATGTGTCTCGTTGACACAAATCGCACCCACTTTATAACAGTGACAGTCAAATCTCATTATAACTCATTATTCGATTAGAGCAGCCCAAGAGTTACTAGCTACTTTCTTCTAGTCTCTTAGTTCAAAATTAGGGACGGCTAGCGCAGATAGCCCTTGTGTAGCTTTGCATAAATATGTATGAAACAACCAATCATTTATGGACACAAAGAGAGAAAGAGAGGCATAGCGAAAGATAGAAACATAAATAAACAGTAGGAAAATTTGCTAATAGAAGTCTTCGAAACAAGATGTCTAAATAAAGGCAGCACTCCAATCAATCTCATAAAAATTGAGGTAGCATTCCTAACTGTTTCATAAGAATTGAAGTAGCACTCCTAACTGTCTTATAATAATAAAAGCAGCACTCCTTACTGTCTTATAATAATAAAAGCAGCACTCCTTACTGTCTCTTAAGAATTGAGGCAGCACTCCTAACAATCTCTTTGTTCCTGAGGTATTGATAAGGTTTTTTTTTATCTTTTAACACTTTGTTCCTACATAATTTGTAACTTTTTGATACTTAATATGCTAAAATATATGTGTGCGTATATCGAGAGGATGTGTTGCCAACAGTTATAGCACATCCTCCACGCTTATATGAAAAAAAAAAATACATGCCCGTATGATACGTCCTTACTTAGTGTGCTTGTATTATAAAGGTATATTAGTGAGAGATTAACAATTTGTCTTCACTCCGTGTAATAAATACATGCCCGTATGATACGTCCTTACTTAGTGTGCTTGTATTATAAAGGTATATTAGTAAGAGATTAACAATTTGTCTTCACTCCGTGTAATAAATACATGCCCGTATGATACGTCCTTACTTAGTGTGCTTGTATTATAAAGGTATATTAGTGAGAGATTAACAATTTGTCTTTACTCTGTGTATAAAATACATGCGTTGGTTCGAAGTGTGACAGTACGTTAACGACAGAGCTAAACTCTAGAGTCTAGATGAACAAACATATCTGTTAGTGTAATGGAAGTATGTCAGTGAGATCATTATACCCGCTAATTCTGTTTAGTACTTAGGTGTGTTACTATTGTTAGAGTAACTTAGTGAGAAGGTCAGAATATAAGTGTATTTGTGTGATGAGAGTACGTAAGTAATGCCCAAAGCAGTTCCTCATTACATGTGGTACAAAGTCGAGTGTTAAGACTACCATAATGATAGAGTGCTAACATACCCATTCTGTGTGTGACAAATATATTAGTATATTTGATCATCACTCAGTGTGGTAAGTTAGAGTACAAACTTGTGATATGAGAACACACTCATGACAGAATCGGGACACGTCCTCTTCCCACGGATGTTTGTGTTGCGAGATTACGTAAGTGATAGAACGAAGATATGCCTACACTCTATATGGCAAATAAACGCGTTTGTGTTGTGAGCAATATATTCGAAATACGGTCAGGATACATCATACTCTGTGTGGAAAACAAACGTGTTTGTAGTGTGAGGGCATTTGAACTGTTTCACTGCGATGGACACATAAATGTCTCCCTCTAGAGCACTGTCATGGTCACCTATATGTCTCCCTATAGAGTGGGCATATATGTTTCTCCCTCTAGAGTCTGGAACACTGCCATGCACACATATATGTCTCCCTCTAGAGTCTGGAGCACTGACATGGACACATATATGTCTCCCTCTAGAGTGGGCACATATGTTTCTCCCTCTATAGCACTACCATGTATGTACATGGTAGTGCTATAGAGGGAGAAACATATGTGCCCACTCTAGAGGGAGACATATATGTGTCCATGTCAGTGCTGTAGACTCTAAAGGGAGACATATATGTGTATATATGTCTCCCTCTAGAGTCTACAGCACTGCCATGGACACGTACATGTCTCCCTCTAGAGTCTAGAGCACTGACATGGACACATATATATCTCCCTCTAGAGTGGGC